ATATTCTTTCAAAATATTGAGTACACTGAGTTGTGGTATTTTTAAGTTATTTTTTAACATCATTTTTTTTGTCCAGAACAATTACCAAATTTCAGAAACCAGAGGGTTTAACATCATCGTTACTTATATAGTCGCATTTAAACTTTTCGCAGTGGAGCTTTATATCAGTGATATCCATGGATTTAATTCTAAAATTTTGTTTTGCTATTTTTATTTACTTTTCCGAAGAAGATAATTATCAGTAGATATGTAGCAAGAGCCGCTGCGTTATATTATCATAAAGTATCGATACATAGCGTTTGAAGATATAACTTTTTGAAAATCACACTGGTTAATAGTTGCGTTATCTATTCCAATCTTAAAAATTTATTTAAACGCTATTTTAGTATTTCTATAAATTTGTGTTAAATACATGTCTTGCAGAAGGTCATATTTAACTATAATGTTTACTTATGATCATATTAAAACAAATGTTCGCCTTATAACTTAATAATAGAATATTTTACAGATTTCATAATTTCATATATGGAATATATAAGATCATATTTGGTTTGTTATATAATTTTGAGTATATCAAATATTCCAGGTAGAGATATTTGGCTACAAGGAAGCAGTGATTACAGACACACAACCCTAATTTGATACCAATGATGGTTTTCAAATAAACTATCAAAACGTTAGGACAATATTACAATGATACATTGCAAAATTGCTGAATGAAGGTTATCAAGGTATTCACTTAATCTGAAATTTAAAGAAATGTTTTCAAATATCCCTCAAATAATTCTTTTATCCTAAGTGGATTTTTGAATCATCGACGTATTTTCTTTTAGCAGAAATATTTCCATACACGTGTAAGGTTTTTTAAGTCGCTTGATATAAATATATTGTGAAAAAAATAATTTTATCATATAATTAATTTTGTTATATAAAAATATATACTATTCTTATTGAGTGAGTTTACATTAACATTTGTCGACAATTCTCAGGGATACTTTCTTGTGTATTCGTATTAACTTCATTTTTTCTGTTAATAAACGAATATTTAAGCGATTTTAAAGAGGTTTTAAAGAATATAATTCAAAATTATCGTATAGTTGAGATTTTGACATTAAAAAATATAATGTCTGTCTGCCAACTTTTTATGCAAATATAAAAATAAAGCATGTCACTCATTGTCTATGTCTATAGGTCCTACTATAAGTTCAGTAGGGAATTGAGATAAAGAGCACTCTCTCTATAGGTCGCTTATCCTACTTACCTTTTGTATGACATAGAAGCATAGACATCACAGAATGATGAAGTTGCATTGGAAATTACCGAGAGAAAAAGTTTTTCGAAACATTTTTGGTGATCTGTAAGTTGGTGACGACTACCTCACTGATATGAAACACGTGTTAGACATTCAGAGCACCTGTTGACTTGTTTACGCCGGAACAATAAATGACAATGTTGGACAAAAAAAGGTGTTTGCAGCGGAAACAGGATGGAAAAAACATTGAGATAGACCATACCTCCAGTGAAGTGATTAAGTTGATGAAGCTCTAGCTGGACTTGATATACAAGACTGGAGAAGACACACACGCAGTAGAGAGACCTGGATATGGGTGTTGTTTCCGACCAACAAGGATGTGATGTACAAGACCGGAGAAGATATACACGCAGGAGAGACACCTAAATATGGTTGTTGTTTCAGACCAAAACTTGATGATGTGTTACTAAAGATCCTTAAAAATGTATCTGATGTGGTATATAATGTCATGGTAAATATAGTTTATGTTTACATAACCGATTTTCTAAGATATAATATACGCATCAATTTCTGTACACTTGATTTCTCTTTATAAAATAACTATATTATAAAGGTTTATCCAGGTATAAAGGTTTAACGTTTGAAAATATCTTAAATGAGATATACAGATTCATTTAATCACTTTGATTCTTTTATATTCATCGTATTGTCTTATAAGTAGTACAAGGCTGTGGGTTTTACTAGTTCATAAACATTTCGTTAGTTACTTATAATATAAGTCAACCAAAAATATTAAGTGCATCTTTTTGCTTTGTAAAAGGAGCAATACACCTACCTCCAACATCCTTGCTATGGTTAGCAACAGGCAACAAGTGGTGACAGCCACTCCAACAACAACAACAACACTGTATATGGTGTACGCAAAATAAATGTTGTTGCTCATTAACAATAAATGTGTATAAAGTCCAAAAAGGAAAAGACTTGTTGTGTTTTAACATTAATGTTACGTTGCAAATAAGTGACGATAAATATTGCAGTAAAGCAATGCCAGCCATAAATACCAACAGCCAACAAGTACCAACAAGTAACAACATCATTTTAACATCAACAGTCACCAAAAAACTCAACAAGTGTCCCAGTTCAGTGACGGATTTCATGAATGCAGTTAGTGTTATCTGTAAATGTTATATTGTCCTTTACTAATGGCTTATATTCGTATTATCGGACATTATTATTTAATAATACATAACGAAATACATTGATTGTGGAATGATAATACCGACAAAGTTCTGATCGGAAGATTAGTAGCTAGAGAGAAATGACAAGAGTTTTCTCAAACCTCTAACTCAAAGTACGTGCGGCTAGTACTCTCTCAATTTGTTCAATGCACCGAAGACACGGTTTTCTTCTACGACTATTCTCTCTAATTTTTACTTTAAATGTGTTTTTCGCCATACAGTTTCCTAGCATGGCCAAGGCAGCTAAATGTTAATTTGTTAAAATTTATCATGTTATAATAAAGCTCGTACAGTTCGCGATTTATTCGGATCCGGCAACTCGTAGAGGAACCGGCGTAGAGTGTTTCATTCACTATTAACTCCTTTTTTTGCATGACTCTTTATCAATAGCAGCAAAAGCGGCTAAAAGCGGTTTGCTACGTCCAAAGATGTTGATGTCGTCATCATAAGCAAGAAGTTGAACATATTTGTAGAATATTGTGGCGTTATGATAAACTCCTTACCTACGCATGATCACTTCGTTGACAAAATTAAAAAGATCACAGGAACGCAGGTGAACAAGACAACGCGTCTAATTGCATTTAACTTTAAATATGTCAATGTCTTCTTTGTAGTCTTCAATCCAAGTTGACGCACAGCCTTCACAGGAAATCCATGGATAGTGATCCAGCACCCGCTGGGCAATGAACTAATAGTGCGTGCAGTGTGTTCTATTTCTAGAACTTTAAGTTTGGGTTATATACAGTATTTGCCAGCCATCATGTAAAATTAGCCGTCAACGAAGGACATAAGGATGTTTTGGAATTGGAAAACGAATGTTGACTATACCTGTCTCAACTTACTTGATGTAATTATCAGTGTATTATTAATCAGTTTCTTTTGTTAAATACTGTCTATGGTAATAAGTAAGAGTAGTGTCTTTACAATGCAATAAATTACTTGTGTAGGCAGAACTTGGTGGGTAGCAGATTAAATTCCCATATACTAAGTACCCAGCAGTAACCTCATATGTCACTTTATTAATATGTTTTAAAAACATTTAAGTCTATTGTTCTTACAATGCAATAAAATACTTCTGTAGGCAGAACTTGGTGGATAGCAAACTAAATCTCCATATACTAAGTACCCAGCAGTAACCTCATATGTCACTTTATTAAAATGTATTAAAAACGTTTAAGTCTATTATAACTATAGCTAACAAGTCTAGCTTTAATTTTGTTTTTGTTGGTAAACCATTACATAAAAAAAAAATTTTTCAAAAATACTTGTATTCAAAATTTGAGCGGGATGATGATATAATATATCATAAGGTTGTTTGCTGATTGATTTCGGTTAATCCACTCCTGTTTATAAAATAATAAGCGTGTATTCTGCGTGGATTTGAACAAGAAGTCTGAAGAATTATGCGTTACATTTTTTTTCTTGTTCGTCTTAATGATAATAATACTGCAGGCGTTATTACAACAACACCTAAAATGATTTTAATAGTAACAACTATATGTTTTTATAAGTATACTATAAGGTTACTTATTATTAAATGGACCTTGTTACCACCACCTACAACAATTACAAGCAACGCTACAAAAACAATGCTATCATTAATATCAGCAGCATCAACTGTAGCAGCAGCAGCAGCAGGAGCAGCAGCAGCAACAGCAGCGGTAGTAGCAACAACAGCGGTAGTAGCAACAACAGCGGTAGTAGCAACATAACAACTATAAGTAAAATAATTACCAGCATAATAAATCGTAAACTGCAAGCACAACTACAACAAGTACAACAAGTACAACAAATACGACCAATACAACAATCACAGTGACTATCACAGTGACTACAATGAAAAAAGTTAACACAAAAATCTGAAAGAAAGCGTTTCTTTGTAAATGCAGAGCAAAAAAAATAAGATGAATGAAAAAAGTCAAGCGGCAATCGGATCAGCAAAAGATTTTATCCAAAAAAAAAAAATAAAAACAAAAATAAAATAAAACAAAATGTTGCGGCAAAAACAAAAAACAAAAAACAAAAAAAAATAAACAAATAAATAATCATACGCAGGATATGAAAAGCGACGCTATAAAAGGACCAAACGCAGAATGTAACAACTTCAGTGCAAATTTTAAAGGAATTCATAACACTTCAACAATATCGAACAATAAATTGCTTAATAAATTATTAAGATTATTTTTTTTTTTTTCATAAATCATAAATCAAAAAAAAAATATTTTTGAACGGTAATATGTGTTTATTATTTTTTTAAATTTTTTCAATACTTTAATAAACTTAAAAAACAACAAAAAAAAAAAAATTAATCATATATATAAAAAAAAAAAAAACAAACGTGGATCCTCTATAACCTTAACTTTATTTGCTGCAGGACATGCAGGAAATATTTGATGATTGAAATTTTGCATCAATTAAGCAGTCAATCTTGCTTTCGTTAAGGAATTACTAAGTGGAGCTCAAACTGAAAGTACTAGTAAAAATACAGTACAATTTATTTGAAGTTTTTAATTACAAAAATCTCAATTTCGAAATTTAATTTACGTACAACACATACACACACGCACACACACACACACACACATTTATACTTTTACGCAATATTTGATGTTTTTACATAAACGAGCAATGCTTTTGGGATATTCACAACGTGCTGAAAATAAATTGCAATTGCAAGGACTCATGCAAAATCAACTGGATTTGGAAGAGCAACAGATACACATACAGAAACAGAAACAGAGGCATCAACATCAACACCAGCAGCAGCAGCAACAAAAAATTCAAGTACATTATCAATATCATGGTCAAAAAGAAAAATTAAAGAAACATCAACAGCATCAACATCATCAACATCAAAATTCACATCAGTGTCAGCAACAACAGCAGCAGAAACAGCAACAGCAGCAACAACAACAGCAGCAGCAATGTCATTACCAAAAACAGTTGCGCTTACAGGTGCAACAACCACATCAACAACAACAACAACAACAACAGCAGCAGCAACAGCAGCAGCAGCAACAAAAACAACTACATCAATATGAACATCATTATAATCATCAACATCAAGCGCATTATCATCAATTGGCAGCAGTTTTAATTGCATTCATATTATTGCAACATGTTGATATGTTTGTATGCCATCATATGCCAATGACAGCAACAGGAGCAGACACAACAGCTATAATTGACGGAGCGGCCAACAAACGTGTTGCAGCAACTGGTATCGATGATGATGGTGCCATTGTCGATGGTCAGCCTGAAGAAATATTTTCATTACCCGATCGAATTGAAGCAAATTATGATGAGTATCCGGTAAGTTTGAGCTCGTATCCTTAACAAATATACATGTGCCTATACACAAACAACATGTATATACACATACACATGCATATATATAAAGTCACATATATAGATAGAAACACTCGAACGTTATCCTTTTGCTATTTTGAAATTTTGTCGTTTTTCTCTGCAACGCCATTTGATTTGAAAGTTGGGTTGCAAAATTTCAACCAAGATATATATAAAACACACACACATATATATATATATATATATATGTATATATATAATTTTTTTTTTCTTTGAACCTACAATTTTCACCTAAAGCAATGTACCTATGTATATAACCTACAATTGAGGTCTACGAAATATTTTTATAAATTTTGTGGAGTAAAAGAATATGACTTTGATTTTTCAATCTTTTCGGAATTTTTTTACTTTTTTTTTTTGTTTTATTGTATTTATTTGATTTATTTTTATTTCCTATGATTTTTAGTTTCTATTTGCGAAAAGTTTCATTTTCCTACTCAATTTGTAATTTAATATTTTTACTTTTATTTGCTTTTGATTTGTACTGCCAACGGCAATTTATACCAAAAAGTATGAAACTTTTTACCAAAGACAAATATTGCAGTATTTATTGTAGGTTCAGTAACCACAGAGCCATAATATTAAGTGACAAAAAAGCTGGAACACTTAACTGAATTTATAGGAATTTTTTTAGGTCGTAAAGTGAGTGGAGTGATTGCCACAGTTACCAATATTTACTCTTTCACATTGGGAGTCCCAAAGCGAGATTGCTTTAAAATGGTAACTTTATTCTTGTTTAACCCCTGCCCTGCATAATTTCTAATAAATTGTTATGCTGAGCTACAAAAGAGTTTGTAGCGTAAAACAGCATAGATAATGAAGAACATTATCAAAAGTAGTAAGCTATGATGTCTTCACCTTAAACTATATTTTTTTCAAAAATTTAATCTCTATTAAAAAAGTTGCCCCACATTAGATTTAGACTAGAATAAAATAGAGACTCAGGCTATCAGTCTAGAAAACTATAAATAATGCTATGTTAATAGATATTGGAAATCTCAACAGACCTTAGTTTAGTGGGTTACATAGGCAGTTCGGCAGATAACCTTTCATTGGCTTCAATTCGCAATCAACAGACTCTAACGATTGTTAATATTTTCACGTTATCATCCACCAGATAGTCATTGCTAATGTGCAAATCACCTGGTATATGTAGCGAAACCACAACTGAAGTTATAGTTTTTTTTGCTGTTTCTAGTCATTGCTAATCAATATTCCTTTTCGCTTTTTACTTTTCTTCTATAATTTCTTTTGGTATTATTAATTGCATAATTAATCATACCTAATATTAAGTCCAAAACTGAACTCCAAATTCATTTAATTATTTATATTTTAATGAAGTATATATCTAATAGATTTTGATAAAAGTTATATTTATTAATTTTTGTAAGTTCCTACCACCATTAACAGAAATTGCCACCATAAACATCTAAATTGCTATATAACATATTGGTCCCAATTTCCCAACCAAAAAAGGTGCGTCTTAGTAGTCAAACGTATGCCAGAACATCTTTTACTTCAGGAATATCGCATTATCATTGGTGTGAAAAGTTTTCGGCAAAGAAAAATTATTAGAGTGAAGAATTTACTTTTCTCCTATATAATATGCTATTTGGTTGTACTAATGACGCACTTGAAGATATCTTTTCAGGTAGCTCTCATATAATGATATTCGAAGCAATTTTCATTTTTGATTCTAGCCCCTAAGTAAGGGGGCATAAATACGTGCCCTATCGCACCTCTAGTTAATCCATATACAATGTATTTAGAAGTCATCGTTTTTCAAACTTAAAAAATATTTGCTGCGATGCTATTTCAAGTCAAGATACATGGGTTATCCGATAAGATAACCTACATATCTAATCCCACGTAGACAACCGATGTATTAAATTAAAAACTTGTTTCGTAGATATTTTTACATGATCGTGAACGGTTGAATCCAATTAATTTGATCTTTGATCTTCTGAAGATTTAACGAATGATTGTTCGAATACTGTGAGTCAATACTGTGAGACGTGGACAGTTGAATCCAATTAATTTGATCTTTCATCTTTTGAAGATTTAACGAATGATTGTTCGAATACTGTAAGTCTATACTGTGAGACGTGAACGGTTAAATCCAATTAATTTAATCTTTGAAGATTTAACGAATGATTGTTCGAGTACTGTGGGCCAATATGCTTTATTAAATCAGCTAATTTAATTATTATGTTTAATTAATTTAACCGATAAGAGTAGTTCATTAATTATAACAATATATATTATTTTGTACTTGACTAAGATGTCGTTATTCTAATAAAACTTTTTTTGGATATAATTATGAATGGTTTAAAGATGATAGTTCCTAAAAGAGCAGCACTACTGTTGGATCGTTTGATGGTGGCTCTGCATCATGCACTCGAGCAGGAACGTAATGGACGACGTAGAATCAGTGATTTCTATGCTAGCAAAAATGCGAATTTCAAGGATACAATTAACAAAAATAATGGAAACAACAATGCTATTAAGAATACGAATATAGTTTCTGAAAAGGTACCGGAAAAGGATGTTGAAATGGGTAAGTTGATATAATTAACTATATACTATATAGTATCAATATATCAAACATTTGAGAAATCGTACTATTTGTTGCATATTTACAGGTTCACCACATTACAGCATGTACAGCGATGATGATCCAACAGTCATGATGGATTATGATTTCAAAGATTTAAATGCTATAAATCGTGCTACCGGTGAAACTGTAAGTTGGATTATAAAACCTTAATTGCATTTTGACATTTGGACAAGTGTAAGAAAATTTCAGTTAATGGCAAAGAGCTTTCAGAGAAGAGCGAAGAACATGGGCGGCATCGATATAAGTGACGGTGATATGGGCGCTGATGGTATGGCTTTGTTAACGTCGTCAGCGGGCATAACTGGTGATGACGTTGGTATTATGGGTAGCGGTGGCGGTGGCGGAGTTGGTCGAAATATTGGTACTGGCGGACGTATGTATTGGCGTTGCTATTTCAATGCAGTTAGCTGCTTTTAATAATAAATAAATTTTAAATATATTTTATGGATTTCAATCCATTTGGAATTTTATGCGCCACACTTAAACAATACCAAAAAACACATATAATATGAAAAAATAATTATATGTTAATATCTATTATTTATAATAATATAAATATACATGGATATATATGAATAAATATTTATTTTGATGAAAATGTATGTAAGCTCTCACACACACATACACATACACGCATACATTGACGAAATAACTTTTAGACATAAGCAAAGATATGCGCCCATAAAAACCTAATTTTATTCCTAAGTAAATTATAAATTTTCTTAATTTAATAATTATTTCTTGACTTAATTGCCCTTAAGGCGTCAATTTAAATGAAATGCTTTTTGAATATTGCCGCACATTAACTGAAAATTTTAATTAAACACTCACGTTTTACTTATACAAAACCACAAAAAAAAAATAAAAACAAGAAAAATATGTATTATTATATTCAAAAAATACAAGTTAATTAAATAAATTATTTATAAATATTTATTGAGGATTTGTTTTGATGGTTTTGATGGATTTATAAATGCCTTTGTACTGGTTATAAATTTTATTCCCCTGGTCTGTTTGACTAAAGTAATTAGTTGGATCATAAATTACGCAGAAATCATGTCCGAAATTTTTGGAATTTTTGGAAAAATTCTGGAAAAATTGTCTATCCGCAAGAATATATATACACAACATTAATAATAATTAATTGGGAAACCTTCACTACGTAATTTTAGTAGTTTTATAAAATTTTATTTATTTATTTTATGCTCTATGTATTACTTCCAATTGTGTGGGTTATTGGAATTGAAGGTGATTTGTAAAAACTCGGAATTTAAACACGGCGTACAGCAGCGGAGTACCAAGAGGGACCTAGGAAATACCTAGATCTGTAATGCTGAAATATGTAAATGATTATGTCTTAATTTGATACTCTAGAACTTTTTTACTTCTAGAGAATTCAGGATAGAAGTTTCTTGACTTAAATTAATGCATGGTCATCTTGTCAGTTATTGTCATAAAACTGGATCGAACAATTGTTCACATGTATTGATTTAAATGCTCTCAATTTAACAGAAGGTGTACAGCAGCGTAGTGCCAACAGATATGGAAAAACGTAGTTGACATTACTTAAATATATATGTATCTGTGATGCCGTAAAATAAAGATATTTTAAATAATAGCAGTTTTTCTTCAACAATAAGATAAACTTTTTAAAACTTTACTAATATTTCTATGTATATATAGTATTCTAAACATCTTTATATAGTATATAGTATTGATTTGATAACATCTTCAAAGTGATTAAACTCAAAGTGAGTTGAAGGCCAGAAAGTATGGCTTTTAGTTCCTTCAGCAAATTCTCTTTTACCGATTCAATCGACTCAAAACGCCTACCACGAAGGGGCAATTTGAGTTTCGGGAACAGGAGAAAGTCGTATGGAAAAATCGCGTACAACAAAAATTTTTCATAGTAAAAATCGCTAAATGCACTTGAGGTAGTCTCACATTAACAGCTGTTGTAAACAAACTACATGACAGATGGCGCTCAAATTTGTACCATATGTCAAGAAAGGGTGTACCAATATAACAAAAAAAATGTTTGAAAAGGGTCTATTATTAAGGAGTAGTTAACAAACATCAAAATCCGGATACTTTTTGAGCAGAAGGTATAATAATAAACTCTAATATCTTCTAAAAGAATTTAAATAAAGTCCACACTTATAAATTTTTTATGATGACCATTGTCACCTATAACTTTAATTTAATATTAGTGGTATGGTTGGCAGTAATGACTGATAGGTATAAATATTTTTTCACCCTACGTAATTAGCAATTATTTGTCGTTTTAAAATCATATTCCTAACAAGGAAGTTTCGTAGATAAACTAGAACCATTCAGTTAAGCTCATATAGTTCAACAGATATTTTATTCTTATTTATGAGTTAAGTGACAGTGTTTTAAGAAATTTCTCTCTGAAAAAAAAAACCTAGAATGAAGACCTATTTAGGATCTCTAAATGTATCTATGCGGCCCTCCACTCTGTACAGTGATATGCATTGGCCCGCGATCGCATATGGTCTGAACAGTCCTGATATATATAATATTTTCCATACTGCTAATGTGCTATTTGCATAATATATATGAGTATTGTATACATACCATGTGAATGTTGTGGAACTAAAATAAAAGTTATGAAGTTTAAAGTTTTATTGTGATAAGACTTCGTAACTAAAAAATTTGTGGTTATTTTATGAATTAAAAATAAGACTCATGTGTATTGCAATAGGTTAGATTTGAGACAGCCAGTAATTAATAGTACATAAACTACTTCTGTAAGAAATTAAACTTTATATTGTCACCAGATATTATCTACTAATGATAACTACAATTTTAGAAAGTGATAAACTAGTTTAATATGTGATTAAACTGAATAAGTGTGTTATATTACGAGTAGGGGTTCATATAGTACAAGTATTACAACTAACCAATTTACTTAAGTATGGCATTTACACTTATATATACAGAACTTGTTGAACCTCTAATCCCTTACTGAACTATATAAACAAATAAAGAAATAAAATAAATATATAAAAGTTTGTGATTTTACTAATATCAAGTGTTGTCCAAGGTTCTATTAGTTATCACTACTCCAAAATATAATTGAAGGTGTATTAATTGGATTATGGTCTTTAGGAATTTCATGCTTTCATTTTAGTTGACATTGAGTTCCTCAATTAGCCATTTAATACATTTAATGGAAAATGCAGTGAAATAGTAGTTTTATCGGCAGATTTGTCCAAACTTGTATAAATACGAATGTTACGAAGCACCTGACTCGTCCTTTTATTGTGTGGTTAAGATTTTTTATCGGACAGAGCCTACACAAATAATATATTCAACATATATAGTGCAAATATGAAACAATAAACTTAAAAAAGGTGTTAAAAATACTTACCCATTTAAGTATAACCTGTTAACAACTTGTATTCCGTTATTGCAAATCCATAGACCAATAAACCATAAAACCATTATAATAAATATTTCATCAATAAAATATTATTTGTTGCTGTCAAACAAGAGAATATTTTTTTATTCAAAAAAAAAAAAATGATCCATATATCAATTCAATATGTTATATATATAACATATATAGTCATGTCTAACCATCGATGGATTATGGACCTCAAAGCTTCTGCCCACGTTTTTTTGCACGGTTTTTTTTTTGTTCACGACGGCCTAGTTTCCTTTTCTAAGCGCGACGCCTGTTTACCGCTCCCTTCTTTTTAGTGGCCTTCCGCTTTTTGCCAATTTTTGTTAAATTTTTTTCAACGGGGAAGAAAACATCTAACGAATCATCACTAATATTAATCTCAGGCTTACATGGAGAGAATTTTTCTTTCTCGATATCCTTTAGATTAACCCACAACTCTCCTCCACTTTTAATGAGTTCAAGTGGAGTTAGTTTTGGATTGTTCTTTTTGAAAAATTTCAAGAAATTAGCAAAACGATTTCGACTCATTTTACAGATAATTTTGACGAATTTTGTGAATCTGAAGTCACTAATAGAAAATATATTTTAATAATAAAAATTTTTGAATTTAGTCTACTCTAGTCTAATTCTATTAATAAAAATTTCAATGCAACTGTGATTTAAATAAAAATAGAATATGTAAGAAATGTAAGTAAGCCATTTCTTACATATTTCGATCTTTTTATAGACCGAAACGTCTGGAACCTTTTGAGAAATCAATTTGGTAATAAGCATCTTTTATGATTTAGAGTTTTTGTATTTATATTTATATTATTTGTAATGATATCTATACATCTATGTTGTAAATATCAGTTAATTTATTAATAATTATGCCGGAAGTTCTGGGACAAATCAAATACGATTTTTTGTTTAATAATTCAAGAAAAAGTATAGGAGATTTTGAATAGATGATGGAATCTATTGTAGTTTGTTTTTATCTGCGCGATTGTCCATTTTAATGCTCCGAAGGTAAATAAAATAAACTTCTGAATAAGATTTTAATTCAATACTTATATCAATATACCTATAGTATTACTAAGTCCTTAAGTACTAAGTTTTAATAACATGCCGACACTTAGCTAGTAGTAACTCTGTGCACTATATATAGATATAGTTCATATGTGGAGTATACGGTAACTTGTTTATCCAATATAATTAAAATTTTAAAAATTTATTTTTTTTAATAATCTTTTTCCGGAGCAATTCAAAATAAAATAACAAATTATTTTCTATATAGGTTGACGGTTTCAAAAATATGGCTAGTTCGATTTATAATGAGACTGAAGTTTGGTCACTTCATTAGATTAGATTTGAATAAATTAAAGCAGGAAATTTTACAAATTTACAAATTCAAGGGAAATGATGAAGAGCGCAAGAGAGGAGTATAGATATTAATTTTTATATTAAACTTATAATTCTATTATTATTGTTGCAATGACCTCATATACAATAATTGATTCAAACACAGTGAGAATTTAAATTATAGTTGTGTTATTAGAGGTATTATTTCAAACCAAGTAAATGAGAATTATAAAATCTTATTTATAATTATTTATATTTCAAGAATTATAAATACATCTAATATTTCACAATATATAATTTTAGAGTACTGATAGTTAAACAAATAAAAAAAAGGTTTATGAAGTTGTTTTTAATATGTGATATGTTATTATATTTTATTTTAATACAAGTGATGACATCTTAGCAGATAATTGCATTGAATTAATATTTATATAAAAAAAAATATATTTCAATTTTTTTTTGTTGAAACTAACGCGCCTTATGGTGAAAAAAGACTATTTAAATGTTAAAAGAGTTCGAGTAGAAATGAAAGACAGCAGCAAAAATTTTAATTAATTTATTGAAGTTTGGCTGAGCCGATGATATTCCAGTATATAAATTTAATAAATTTAATATTTTTATTAATTATTTTTTTATTATTATGGAA